GTCCAGTCCAGATCGCTTCATTCCTCATCTTCGCCACCCTTTGGCCTCAAGCATTTTCCAAGATAAAATGGAGGCCTGTAGTTCATCAACATCCAAGGCGTGGAGTGACCATAACGCAACTTGTGATGAGATGAGTTGGTGACCTGGTATACGTTTTTTGTGTTATGCCATCTGCTCTTTGGAAACTTTTGAGAAAGCTTGCTCTGAGCTGATTGAGTTTGAGCTTGGTCAAGGCTCTCACAGGTTTATTGGATCTCTGGTGCAACCCTGGAGTTTTGTTTGCGGGTGAGTAAGCTTTCACGGTTTCAGAGCAATATATTATATTATTGCCAAGAGAAGGCATCAAAACTTGGAGCTCCAGAGTCTCACGCCCCGAGGACTTGAAAGGATCCAAACCTATGGACCTCCAGCTTGGACAACCAAGTGAAGAATAGATTCCCGGGACCATGGTGCCTGGATCAAATCAAACTTGAGCTCAGACAAGCCATCTTCCAGAACAATATCTTAAACGGATGTTGCTGGTTCTTGTTGCAGCATACTTATACTTTGTTTCTCAAAAGTAGCTTCTGCATCAGCTGCTTGCTCAGATTGAGATGCAGAGTCCATCCAACCCGTTTTGTTTGCCATGGCCTCGCCAGAGCATGGAGAAAGTGAGAGTTTCATTCCATCGAGAAGAGAATGGTTTCTTTCTTGAGCTTGACAGCAGCAACGCGCTGCGCGCCATGCGCCCACAAAACGAAAATCTCTTGCGCCGCTGTTTACATGATGGTATACGTTAAGAAGCAATTAGTGTACACTTTGGACGGGAACCTGATGGCCGGATATCTGGCTAGAATAAAAAAATATATTGGCAAGGTCACAGGTTCGAACCCACAGCCAGAGACCCAATCAATTTTTTTTGTATGAACGAGGGATTTCTCTTCTCCGCAAAGTCGCTCTCGGCAGCGTTGCTGGAGCTAAATCTTCTCTCGTGCCGATCCCCCCGAATGATCCACGGTTCAGGCTCTTGGATCGCGCGATATTCCCTTTCGCTGGCAAATGCGAGCAGCAAGAACAGGGCATTCGATCGATGCGGCGTCAATCTTGTTCGATTATCGTCTCCTGGAACGCGATGGTCACCGCGTATGTGGCGGCATCCCGCATCCGAGAGTGAGAGTCTATGTTTGATTGCCTCTCAGAGCGCCATGGAACTCGATGATAATGGCTCTCGCGCAGCAGGGGCAAATTGTGGCAGCGAAATCGAGCTTGGGCAAAAACGCCGGCCAAGGATCTGGTGTCCTGGACGAATCTACTGCCCAGAATGACAGGACGTTCCATGGGTTCCCCTTCCAGCAGTGAATAGCAGACCACCTCCAAAGAAATGTTTGATTTCATGCCGGATGAAGACGGTATTGATTCGGCCAGTAGCTGCTCTCCAGGATCCGCGCGTGGATCCTCTGGCCTCGCAGCCCCTGGATGTCGTCCACGTGGACAATCAGATGGATTCCAAATCTTGTTTTTCAAATAAGAGGTGCTGAAATAATATTTTGTTATCTCCCAGTGTTCATGGCTTTGTGGTTATAGCATGCACGCTGTAATGTTCTATTGTGAAGGGTTGCTGGGTTCGATTCCCATCCGCCTCGACTTTCAATTAAGAATAGTACGGTGTTAGGGTCGCCCCCTAACATGAACACTATTTTATTATTTTATTATTAAATTAACCGAACTTTTAAACGCAGTTTATATTAGTGGTAACTACAAACAAATAAAAGGTTAAGAGCGATACATCACAGCCGTTGGATTAAAGGATATCTTAGAATATACCATCCAAACCGTTAGATTTTAGTGCGGCTACGGTTTCGCGAGGTGAGAGAGACTCGGGTATTCGTCTTCCTCTGTGCAGCGGAAAGCTGCCATCTCTCGATGTTTTCTCGGAAAGCTCTCCATCCGGTTGCACCCAGACAAAGGCCACGTTTTCCATCCCCTCTCTCCCAACTACACAACGGGCCTGTCGTGCCGGACTTGGGACGAGCTGGTCCAGGAGCTCAGCTGCATCTATTCTGACGCAATTGCTTCGCTCCCTGACACATCCCTTCCGGACGCCAAGACGCGGCAAAATGCGGCGATCATCCAAGGCATCCAGCCGCCCAAGGACGAAAGGGAGCCGGCTTGGATGTCGAAAACCGAAAACCGAAAGATTCCAAGGATTCAAATGAAGAAACCTCGATACCCAAAGAGCCTCACCATGGATTTTAGACGATTCCTGGTGCCGGATAGCCACACACAAAAAAAATTCAAAAAATGGATGGATTTAACAGCAAATGAAATCAATCAAGATGTGGACGTTAGATCTTGCTTCACCTGATATATAGAAGCGACTATGTTCAGGAAGTGAAATCTCCCATTACCAAGACAAAATATGTAGATCCTATTTTAAAAGCTTCGAAGTGATTACTGTATTGATGCTATTCGTGATGGATAAAGTAGTATCCTAAGAATTACAACGACTTCCATCATTAGGACCATCCAAGGCGTCGTTGCCCTCACGAAGAACACCTTCGGTCAAATCCCGGAGAAGAATCCAGTACCGTGGATCCTCGCATTTGCGAGAATGGGCATTTTGACAAGGCCGTTCACGAGATCCTGCGCAAGACCATTGTCTGCTGGATAGCTCTCAAGCAAGTTTCAACTTGAACGCCACCAGGAGCATGTTTGAGAGCATGAAGATGCGCACCTTAGTTTCCTGGACCACCAACGCTCAAAACGCTTGAAGGACAAACCCTTTTGAAAGCTTCCACAGTCAGACCGTTTGCTTCTACATCCCAAAGAAACCAGGGGATACCTCCAAACCATTCAAACGCCATTTCAGCAGCATTTACTCTCTGCGTTATCTCTTTGGCTTCTTCCGATCCACTCTCATAGTCTGTCACGCGTTTCCTCCAAGAAGACACAAGAGCATCGTACTCGTGCTTTTCCCACGCAGGCAGATAGCGAGTGAACGTTGTCCGCTTGGCTTTTCTGACATTGAACTCGTCTGGTGATGAAGCAGCAACAAGGGTTTTATTTCCAACCATCCGCCCCAAGTCCACTCACAGATCGATGAGATGGTATCTACTTTGCTGTCCAGCACAATCTCCTGAGGGAAGTCTTCTCTATTCACCACCCTGAGCTTTGTTAACCTTGAACATCAAAACAGTCGCTCTGGACTCGTAGATCATGACCGGAAGTACCAGACGAATGCAGATTTACCAACCCCCGAATTTCCATTCAAATGGCAGCACAACATCCACAAATGAACGGCACCAGGATCTTCCTGATCTCTTTGTACAACCCATCGAATATCTCCTTCAGAATATTGCTGTGGAATGTGGTCAGACGAGCACCTTGAGCAAGAAATTTCATCCGTTCCAGATGGAACATTGATCCACCATGCCTGCTGAGATCTCCTAACATAGACTGCATGTTCCCACAGGAGGCTTATTGTACGTTTTAATTGAAAAGCATCAATGAGCTATCCAATAAGAGCACAACTCCTTAAAATGGACATTCCAACAATGGCCTAATCTTCATTATTGAGCTTAGTCCTGGGTTCATTTTAAGAGATTGTAACCGAGCTTAGTCTTTGTACTGTGGGTTCCTTGTAAAAGATTGTAATTAGAAGCTCTATTAGCTAAAAGAGTGATGGAAACACAAGGAATCCAATCACGGTGGGGTTCTTCAGGCCACTTTAGCACACAACAATGACATCCTCAATGTTAACAATCCACCTTGCGTGTACTAGTGCTCCACGATCGGGCAAGTCTCTGCATAGGTTCATCATTTAGCGAGGAGCCCCACGTAGCTACATGTTATAACTTATGCTCTAGCATTCTTGAGGCCAGTTTCGTCCTAGTAGATGGTACATCCTGACAAAGAACTTTTCTGATTTTGGAAGTGAATGTGATCTAGTCGGGAGCCATTCCTTCCAAGACCATCTCCTGGTAGAGGATCAAATTAAAGCGTGGAAGAAATTCCCAGTGAGAGCGTAGGCCTAGCAATCCATGCGACAATGTTGTGGCACTCGGGCATTTGATCGAACATTGCCCGTGCCATGTGTATGTCGTTTTGAGTGTAGAACTCATGCTTTTCCACGGTATGTATGGTTCTTCTCGTGCTCATTTTGCTTATACTATTGTCCAGATTGCTTCATTCCTCATAGATGTATTTTCCAAGATAAATGGAGGCCTGTAGTTCATCAACATCCAAGGCGTGGAGTGACCACAATGCAACTTGTGATGAGACGAGTTTGTGACCTTTGTATTATGCCTTCTGCTCTTTGGAAACTTTTGAGACAGCTTGTTCTCAGCTGATTGAGTTTAAGCTCGGTCAAGGCTTTCACAAGATTGGACAATAGTGTGAAAGACAAATGCCAAAACCATGTGTTTGAGGACAAGCTTAACTAGCTAGTTGCACCAAGATCACCACCAATTCCATGAGGTGTGACTTGTTTATGTTGAATCTAGGATTTTCCTCGAGAGCTTCCCTGGTTTATTGGATGTCTGGTGCAACCCTGGAGTTTTTTTTGCAGGTGAGTAAGCTTTCACGGTTTCAGAGCAATATATTATTGCCAAGAAAAGGCATCAAAAGTTGGAGCAGGATTTGAAAGGATTGAAACCTATGGACCTCCAAGCTTTGACAACCAAGTGAAGAATAGATGGGACTAGGGTGCCTGGATCAAATCAAACTCGAGCTCAGGCAAGCCATCTTCCATGACAATACCTTAAACGGCTGTTGCTGGTTCTTGTTGCAGCATACTTACGCTTTGTTTCTCAAAAGTAGCCTTTGCATCAGCTGCTTGTCAGATTGAGACGAAGAGTCCACCCATTTTGTTTGCCATGGCCTCGCCAGAGCATGGAGCAAGTGAGAGTTTCATTCCATCGAGAAGAGAATGGTTTCTTTCTTGAGCTTGACTGCAGCAGATTTTTCTAGACATGCAAAACAACAGAAATCTTATAAAACCCACCTTGCATATGTCTCATGAATAAGTTCGGACTTTTCAGGAGTATCGGTGGGCCTCAAGCTCCTCTTTGTTTATAAATTGTTTATAAATGTAAATGCTCTTGTGCAGGAAGCTTATGAATACTTCTTATGAAAAGCACCTCAACTCTTGTATCCATTTTCGTGGCTCGATTTTGGTAGCATCTGTAACGTTATGTGGCTGTAGAGTGGCTGTTGCCTGATGCATTCTTGAAACACTTTGCTCTCTTTAACAGAAGAAACAGTCTATTGTAACACACAAAGCTTAGACATTTTTCACCCCAAAAGGAAAGAAATATACCTTGAGGTATAGCCTGAAGCCGTGTCCCACAACTTGACGCCCAAGGAAGTTAATCACCCATGTCAGAACAAGGTCGAGCTTAAGGTCCAGGTGTATTACTGCTCTGTAAAAGAAGTAGTGACTATCTTAAGAAGAAAACAAAAGAAAAAAAAACTTAATACCGTACCTTATGTAGCATTTCTCGTCGCTAATCGTCTGGAGGATGAATCCACCATTGGCTTCCATGCGAATGACGCCCTCTTTTGGAGGAGGCAAATGAGAAGCATTAAAACCATGGATGGTCTCCTTGACGATAGTCTCTGCTTCCTGGGGGACCTGGCAAATCACCACCATTGGAGTGAATAAAATAACAAAAGAGGCACAGTGATTGATAGCTTAATTGTTCGCAAGCAGCCAATCACGGCATCCAATTCAGGTAGCTCCAGTTCGAAAGACGTGACCAGCATTTCTCTTGTCGCAAACGGCCATGGAACCTTGCACCTGGCAAGAGCTTGTAGAATTTAAACGCGGGACGGAGGAGCTGCTGCACTACCACCAGCGTTGGCTTTTGGATTGATCAGCAGGGCACAAGGGATGTACGTTGTAGTGAAAGCATTGCTTTCCCACAGTTCATCTTTCGCCCTTTTTGCTCTAAATACTCTTGTTGTGGACAGCCACCTTTTGGCCCCGAGTACTTTCCATGCATTGCCCCCTCTTCTTCACACAGGGTGTGACTTGAAATTTCATGGAGTTTTTTCTTGTTGCTGCTAGGAACAAGCATCAAACTTGGATAGAACACGACAAGAAAGCCCCTTGATGAAATCTCAAGCTCCCCAGGATTTGAAAGAACAGAGAAGTACCTCCAGCCTTGTACTCTTAACTTTGCTGCTAATCAAGAGCGTGCCTGGATCAATTTAATCTTCAATGCTCAACCAAGCCATCTTTGGACATTCAGTCGTTGGATGCAGGGAAACCTTGTTTCTCAAAAGAAGAAAAGGTAGGTTATCCCAGGGATTCAGTGGTGAAATCTTCATTCCATAATGGTTTCTTTCTTGAGCTTGACAACCGCAGAAAGGATGACAGCCTTATAAAACGTTCCCACGGGTTTAGAAAGGATGCTTAGAAATGAGCGAGAGCTTGCGCCGTTATGGTGAAGGTATGATATACGTTAAGAAGCAATTAGTGTCCGATTTGGACGGGAACCTGATGGCAAGGTCACAGGTTCGAATCCACAGCCAGAGACCCAATCAGAAAAGTTTTGCCACGCTTCTCCCTCCTTTGCATCTTGCAAGCTACTGTGATCAGAGCGAGCTCTTCTGCCTGCAGTCATCTCGGGATGAGAACTACTTGTCGTCCATAGCCCAAGACTACAGCATGTCCACGATCATGGAAAACTTAAGATGCTTGGTGGATCTGCTGGGGAGATCTGGGAAGCTAGACGAGGCCAGTGTCGAGCCAAATTTCAGCGCTGGAGAATGAAAGAGTGGGGAAAAGTCCGATGCTAGTTGGACCTGTCCTCTGGGCTGGAGATCATGACTCACAGCCATTCGAAGGTTGCCAAAACTCTTGGGCATCGGTAAACCGATGTCCAGGGTCGTGTCCTGTCTCTGCTCCGCTCAATAGCTTGCCGCTCAGCGTTCGTGTTCTCACTCTGTGCGATCGTAACGAGGCTGTGCATTGCGAGTCACGCGAGGCGCAAGTTCCTCCTCCAAAACTATTATCGTTCCAAGCGAGAGACACATTCCAGGATCCCTTCTTTCTGGGCTAGATCGATCGCTTCTTTCTGGGCTAGATCGACCACTGTCTTTTTTGTCTCTCGAGCCTGCCGGGAGGGAGAAACAAGGAAATTCCAATATCGCGGAGAAACTCCAACATCGCCTACACTTGAAAAAAGTGCTTTTAGGTGGTTCTCTGGCTGTGGATTCGAACCTGTGAGCTTGCCAATAAATCTCTTTATTCTAGCCAGATATCCGGCCAACAGGTTCCCGTCCAAATTAAACATTAATAGCCTGTTAAAGTGTTTCGCTTGTTCTTGATTTTGAGTGAATGGCACGCGTGCTGATTTCTTGTTCCGTATCAATCACGTGGGCAAGGTCGCGCGAACGTTTCCAAGCCTCTCTTCTTGGTTCCAGGATTTTTTTTGGAGCAAAATTTGTTTCTCGGAACAAGAAAAGTTTCTGGAAAATGAGCAAGTTTGATTTGATCCAACCACCCTCTTGAAGAGCAGAGTTGAGAGGCATCTGGAAATGTCAAGAGTGCTGGAGGTTGGGGTATTTATTTGTTTCTCTCTTCTTTGCAAGATCAAATCCTCTGGCCATGTTCAAGACCATGAAATTAAATACTCACTCCCAAGGCACATCCCTGATTTGGTGCAACTGATTAGACTCAGAACCTGAGGATTGATGCACCAGTGATTCCGTTGTTATTCACTGCAGCCTGTGAGAGCCTTGATCGAGCGTCAGGTGAGAGCAAAGAAGAAGCATGACAAGCGGTGGAATGATACAACACAATGATCTGCAAGGACCCACGTCAAGCCACTGCGAGAAACTAGAGAGAAGAAAGGCTACGCTCTCGCTCAGCTCCACTCTTTCTTACATGAGATTGGCACAAGCGCGGCAGTCAAACGCTGCTCGAAAGTGTGGAGCAGCGTATCGTTATCCAGGTCGTCAGTAGTCCTCGGCCATTCGCTATTTTGACGAAGCATGTAGGAGGAGCTAGTGGTGGATTCAAACTTGGACACCCCCTCTAGCTGAAATGCAATGATACTTTCGTAGACAAGGCTGCATTGCGAGTCACGCGGGCTGCAAGTTTAAGCTCCTCTCCTCGTCCAAACCTGTTGGCGTTCAAGCGAGCAATGCTGAGACGCGTTCCAGCATGACTTTAAAGCAAAAGGAAGAGTCTGGGCTAGATCGACACACTGACCATGATCATCGTGGCTGCTGCTGCTGCTCAAGCACTCCAGCGAATTCCATAAAGACCCACTAAAATTTAATTGGGTCTCTGGCTGTGGGTTCGAACCTGTGACCTTGCCAATAATTGTTTTTATTCTAGCCAGATATCCGGCCAACAGGTTCCCGTCCAAATTATGCATTAATAGCTTGTTAACGTGTTTGTTACTTTCATGAATCGTTTCTTGAAATTCTGGGCATGGCGCTCAGCTGGCACGCGAATGTTTCCCATCAGTTTGATTTGATCCAGGCACCCCCCTCAAGAGCACCGGTGCGTTCTGCCCAAGAGATTCGAGTTGCAAGGCATCTGGAAATGTCAAGAGTGCTGAAGGTTGGGGTTAGTTGTTTCTCTCTTCTTCGCAAGATGAAACCCTCGGGGAGCTTAATTCATCAAGACACCACCCAAAAGCTTCCAGTCTGATGCTTGTTCCTATAGAAAAACCATGTTCAAAACCATGAAACAAAACAGAACATCTTTGAGTTGGTGCAACTAACTTAGACTCAGAACCTAAAGCTTGTTGCATCAGTGATATCCACTGTAGTCTAGTCCCAGAGTACGTTGTGAGAGCCTTGATCGAGCATCAGGTGAGAGCAAACAATTCCTCAAGAGCTGCTTGCAGGTTTAGACTCTGCATAGCTGATGGCTGACAAGAGAAGAAGCATGGCAAGCGAGGCGATGATACAACACAAGGATCTGCGAGGTTCGAAGAAGTCCCTCAACTGCTCCTGGGTACGTTAAGCCACTGCGAGCGTGGTAAGGGACATGAAAACGTGACTCCACTAGCCTAGTCACACCCACAAGCTTACACGAAGCACTGCACTCGACACATCGCTTGGCGAAAATCGAAAGGTGGCAAAGATGAGGAATGAAGCTCAAGACAGTCTCTTGTGCGTTCTTGAGCGATCTGGACAAGAGTATATACATACCGCTTTAAATCACAAAAGCAATGCTTGTGATGCTTGCTTTGCGAGGTATTGTTTGAAGGCTTGTCTTGGTTTGAGCCAGACCGGATCATCCAGCCAAGCGCAGCAGACAAGCGCTGCTCGGGTGAGGAACTTCCTTGTTGGAATGCGAGCGAAAGTGCGGAGCAGCGTATCGTTATCCAGGTCGCCCAATGGTGGCAGCGTCACCTCTGCTATCGCTGCCCTTGCGCCATTTGCTATTTGGACGAAGCTTACATGTAGTTAACGAATGGTTCCATCGCATTGTTCTTGACGACGAGGAGGAGACGCTGCTCTGATCGTCATAGATTCCTCGCGAATTTCGTCATGGAAATGTATGGAAAGTGCGGGCGCGCCGCGGATGCCTTGGGTGTCCTCCACAAAATGGAAGATGGAAATGTTTTCTTCTGGAACGCATTTGCCCACAGCAGGCAAATGCCAGAGGTTCTGGTGCTCTTTCGGCAAATGCTCGTCGATATCGAATTCTTGCAGCTATCAAAGGCGATGTGGCGGAGATCCAGGTGAGAAACACCAGGAACCTCGACTTAAGTTGGCAGAAGGCCCGCTCCAGGCCTGGTTGAAAGACTACTGCTGGAGGGTAAATCAACCACGGCCTTTGGAGGAGGCCATACCCCTGCTGTCTGATCTCCTCGCAATCCTGGAGCTGAGACAATAACACCGTCACCATCTTTGGCTTGTCGTTGTAGTAATTGGAGCTTGGGGCGGCGATTGGGATGTGGCGCCGATCAGGCTGGGATGCCAGTCTCGAGCTCACACGGCAATGCCCTGGTTCCACCCGATGCAAGTGTCTGTCCAGTTCTTGGCAGAAGAAGATCTCGGCGATGGCATGCTCGCCAACGGAGCACCGTAACGCGGCGATGATTAGCGCGTGGATCTCCCCTGGATCGGCATTGATAGCTGCCAAAAGAAATAACTGGATGCTCGAAAAAGAGTAACAAGGGCAAATGCCGCGATCGCAGTCTTCCACGAGAAAGAACCTCGATCTTTCATCTTCTGGAAGATTTCCAGCGCCCGCACTTTCCATACCTTTCTATGACCAGATTAGCAAGGAACCTCGAGGCCGCTGGAGACGATTTTCCTCGTGGATGCGCCTTCCCCCTCCCAGATCTGTGCTCACCGCATTCTCGCCCAGGCGCCCACCGCTGGAGATCGCTCCTCCTTCCTGCAAATCTTCGCTGGATGGCACCTCCTCGTCAAGGCTCAAGAACGATGCCATGGAAAACCACCGCCATTGCCATTATACGCTACTGCTGCACATTTTCGATCCAGGGGGCTCTTTACCCGGGCGGTGTGCTGCTGCCGG